CATGCCTAAAATGGAATTTAGAGGGACTGCCCCGAAAAAGTGACGCATGTACCTACGCCCGCCATATTTAAAGGGAATGCGAGATCTCAAACTGTACCCAATCGCCTTTACTCTATCATAGCCTCCATAGTTCCATATATATATATATATTATATATATATATATATATATATATAATTATATATATATATATATATATATATACACATATATGTTATATATATATATAATATATATGTATATATTATATATATATATGTATATATATATATATACATATATATGTATATATATATATATATCTATTTAATCATATATTTATATGTGTGTGTTTGTTTTTGTGTATGTGTGTGTGTTCCTTCTTTGGTTCTTGTGCCCCATTCACATTCTTTTCCTGAAAGAGAAAGAGGATTTTTTCCTGTATGAAAAGTAGGTAACGACCAGAAAAAGTTTGGGAACCACTGGTTTAGAACATACTACTATATGCGCTCTGAGATAGGGAGTTTCAAAAAATATTTATAATAGCCATATATAGTAAGAGAATAAAGAGAACACTTGCCAGGCATTTTCAAATTGATGGGAAAAACTACTTAGAATGTTACCAAAATTAACTAAGTAACTTTTATCAATTCTATTTCTCTGGAGAGATTAAATCCAAGCAATAGTAAATTGGCAGGCAAGAAAAAACTTTATCGGCGAAAATTTATAAAATGAAATAAAGTAAAATTCTGCTTTGTTTTTAAATGTTTCTTTTAAACCAAAATTTAACTTTGCTGCTGCATGACTGACAGCTAAGATTTATATTCTGTGAGGCAATTATCTTTGTTATCATTCCTGTCTTCCTGTTCCAGAAATTGCTTTTGACTGAAAACTGGCTATAGAGACATATATTTCCATATGCTCTATTGGGGGGGGGGGTGCTGTGACTGTCGGTGACTTTTGAGAATTCTTTCTTTTCTTCTTTTTTGCTTTTTTTTCGTTTCTGTCTGTTTCTTTTTCCACACTTCATCTGAAGAACTTGTGAGGATTTTTTTGTAATATATGAAATATAATATATAACATATGAATAGTAACCAGTGCGCTCATATCTAATACATTTTAGTGGCATTCTTTTCACTGCCCTAAAGAAATGATGTACCTTCGATATAAAAAGGTATTCCTAGTAAAAAAAAAAAAAAAAAAAAAATATATATATATATATATATATATATATATATAAATCAAAGTAAATCATCTACCTTTATCTTATTTCTTTCAAAGAATCTCAAATACCAAACTTAGTGAAACGATTTACCATAATAAAGGAAAGAACTAGAAAAACTAGAACTAGAAAAAAAATATATATATAACACTTACCCAGATACCTTTAATGATTGAAATAATTTCTTCCCTTTTTGTTTTCCTTGAGAGCTCTATTTTTCTATTTTTCCCTTTTAATTTGATGAGGTAATCGAACAGTATATCAGTTGTTATTCGCCGATAAGAAAACAACCGGTCCAGGTCATCTGTGTTTCTTAGGATGGTGTCTATTGCCCCTGGAAACAAGAAAAAAAAATTAAAATCACATTCCAGTTATTTAAGATAAAGAAGTGATTAAGTTCATCTGCATGATTTTTTT